GTCAGTGCCCCCGGATTCTGGTTGGTGGACCTTCCTAATATTCTCTCCCCACCAGTTCCAGATTGCAGCCTGATGTTGCAGTTCAAGACCAATAGGAAAAAAGTATCATGCAGTCTCAAATATTTATTGCCTTGATGCTGAAACAAATGATACAATGTAATCTGACGTAAGGTAACTGGTTTACGGACTGGCCATGTAGTCTATTGATTTGGGGAGATGAATGCCATGTAGCCCATCACAATTTGAACCCCAGGTTCAGTGACTTGAAAAACATGCCCGGTATGCATGAACATGTGCTCCCAAATCCAGACAGGATGAAGAAATGGGTCAGGGATTGCAGTATGACCACACCTCATTGTAGGGGTGCTTCCTCTCTCTCTCTTATTGGCTTTCTCTGATGAGCACACAAGTGCTATGTCAATTTTAAAAATACATACAGAATATAGTAGAACAGTACAGAATTTTAGATATGGTGCAGCTAGTGAGAGGGACTTATCAAGCACTTACATTGTGGAAAACCTAGAATCTGTAATATAAAAGTTGGAACTGGCTCAAGTTTATAAAAACATTGGATAAAAATGAGACTCAGTTATTTTGCCTTACCTTTTCAAAATCATACAATAAGCAATAAAGACAATGTTGCCACTCACATCACAAAACTCTTCACGGGAACCAGCAGTTAGCGTAATGGCTATGTTGCTGGACTCCCACGTAGTTGACAGCAGTTCGCGTCCCAGACCCGGTGGCTTAAAACTCACGCCGGGCGCGTGTGTGTGCGTGTCCAAGACCCCGAGAGGAGAATGGAGGAGAAGGGATGGCGGCGTGACCATCCTCCCTGGGGGGTGATTTCTCACTTTCTGTCTCTATGTCTCTGTCTGTCTGGCGAGCGCACACGCCCTGTAGCGAAAACCTCTCAAAAAAAAAAAAAAATTCTTCAGTGTGTTAATTTTTTTATTGTGTCATAAATGATTGCCAGTAAAACAGACTGGGTAAATTTTATCTGACAATAAATATAAGTTTTCGCTCAGTGAATAAAACCCCTATCTAGTTATCAAGAACATTGACTTGACTTTTTTATACCTCTTGATTGAGGTCGGCAACTGGGTAGTGAATAAAGGCACTGGATTCCCACATGGCCAGCTGTGGTTTGAGTCCTGACCCTGGCGGCTTGGTTCTCAGTTTCTCTCCCTCTCTCTCTCTCTGTCCCTCTTTGGTCAAGTTGAAATAAACAAATGAATAAATAAAGTTAAATGAAATCATTTTTAAATAAATGAATATCTCTTGATTAATAGAGTCATGCAACAGAGTTGCTATGTAAACTACAAAATGAAAAAGTTAATAGGGGGTTGAAATTCCAACTGTCACATCAGTCTCATTTAGTCAGTAACTAGTTGAATAAAAAAAAAATAAAAAGAAAGAAAAGGCAGTGTTTAAATTGACTAATCTCCAAGCATCTTTGTATTAATATATCCTATTAATTACTGACTTTTTCAGAAATGTATCACTAAAACAGATGTTATTATAAAGAAAATATAGTTACTAAATTACTAAAGAAATTCAGCACTGATAATTTATGATAAGGAAGTATTTATTACTTATCACTAGAAAAGCTCTCACCTCTCCATTTTACACTTCCTATTATAAAACTCTCAGAAAAAAGTGATTTCGTCTTTACTGACCACACTGGCCCTGATTGTTCTCAGAATTTTCTTTGTACTTTCATTAACAGTGTTCAAATTATTTTTATATCATCTAATATATGATCAAGGCCCCTAAAAATGCTAGAGGATTATTGTCATAGAGCTCTTCCCTAC